TGATTAAAGAAAATAAAATGTCTCTTTTGAGGGAGGTCTTCTGAGACCAGGGTCAAAGACAGGTAGAAATGTTTATTCCCCCTTGGGGTGACCCCTACACTCCATTTAATGCCAGCTTTTTAGATGCCTGGTTTAAAGTAAGCAATTCAGAAATAAACCAAGGAGTCAGCTTCCTCTGACTGATTAGTTTCTTTTTCAGAGGAGCAATCTTATCAATAGATGTTTGCATTGAAGCTGTAATATTATTATGAACAGTATGTATGGTATAAGTTGCCGCTATCAGTTGAATTGCTCTGCAAGATGGAGCAAATAATGATAGAAGAGAATCTTTAAATTTTGTTACAACATCCACTATAATAAAATTAACTCTGAGACTGTGTAATCGATGTAGTTATTAAAAATAGTTTGACAAAACCGGGTTTTATAGATGCATGCTCTATGTGACCAGTCCAAATCAAGATCTAAAATTATGGGGTGTTGAAGTCAGTCAGGTCAGTGCTGTAGATTACTGGCATTGTGTTGAAAACAACTGCACTGCATTTTAGTGCATTACTGGAAAAACTGCAATGAACATGCTTCGCTCTGATTTACCACTATAGATGGACTTCAGCTTCCAGTTCCTTAACAGGAAAAAGTGGGTTAAAGATGGATAGATGGTTAACTAAAAAAAGTTTTATTTGTCAAATCCTGCTTACTACCCTGTCTTACTGGAAGGATGGCATAACGTAATCATTTGCAAAATTAGTCTCAAGTGTTATTTCTTGCCATGATGAGTCAATATGTCTGCTGTGAGAAGGCTTGATGTCTTGCACCGTGACTGACTTTACATTTAGTGTTTTCACTTTTTATAAAACTCTGAAGATTTTGTCTCAGAATAATTAAATGTAAACAACATTTTATTTGCATTTAAATATTAATACAGAAAATTACGGATAGAAAAATGAAAACGATTTACAATAAGTTTCTATTGACTAAACAATACAGTAAACGGAGGTCAAAGAGAACTTAAACACTACACGTTTAAAGCTATGATCACATTTAATCGTCTGTGCTTTGTTACAGCCTCCTATCTTCTTACTTGAAGTAATCGGTTTCCAGTTTCATATACACGTATACAGCGGGTAAAATAAGTATTGAACACGTCAACATTTTTCACAGTAAATATATTACTAGAGGTGCTAATGACATGAAATGTTCACCAGATGTCGGTAACAACCCAAGTGATCCATACATACAAAGAAATCAAACCATAAATGTCCAGAAATGAAGTTATTTGTAATAATGTGGAATGATGTTCCCACCTCCAAACGTCACTGTTGGTATGGTGTTTTTGGGCTGATGTGCAGTGC